AATCACTTGGCACAAAGCACTTTCAGGGTTGGGAAATCCAGGCCTTCGGTCTACACCTGAATGCCAGTGTTTTATGGCCCACATTCTGTACTTTCAACAGGGCTTGGCCACCTACAGGAAGTCTAAACTCAGCATTCAAGATTATTCGCACTCTGTACTAGAGCTACTTTCATTAAGTATGTTCTAGATGCACACGCACAGAAGCACACCCCACACAGAAGTCAGACTGGACTGTTAAGTTTTCTTGGAACACGCTCAGCACTGTCTTCTGAGCTCTCCACGCTCCTCCATTAGGGGGCTCTATCTTAATAAGGTGGTATCGAGTGGCACTTCAAGATGCAGAGAATACAAATAAATGCTTCGTTTCCCACATGTGCCTCTTTACCCTGTGCTCCACCACTCGGAGTGTCTGAGAAGCATCAGCTGAGCGTGGGAGGCTGTCTTCCACACCATCCGCCCACGGTGTTTCTGACCCTTGCTCCTGTGTCCTCACAGGTCTGGACACACAGTCCAACACACCGGAGGCATTGGCTCAAACCGTGGGATGGTTTACACCCACCGGTTCTTTCCATTTTAGGTCTTCTTCTTTCTCAACAACTTCTCCTTCCTCGATTTTCTTTCCCTCCCTAAGACATTCGCACTCTGTACTTGAGCTACTTTCATTAAGTATGTTCTAGAACACCGTAAATGCACCTCCAGTGCCAGACATTCGGAGCCAGAGACTTCAACTCCCAGCCTCTGCCTGGCAGAGGATGACGAGGCTGCGGGCAGCCTCCTTCTCATCGTGATACGTAGTCTGTGCCCCCACTACTGTGTGTCAGGGCTGCCTGGGTCCAGGCTCTGTCCACAGGACAGTGTGGGAACGTTACCTGCATCTGCTTTCGGCATAGGGCCAATAAGGAGGCCGTAAGGAGGCGGCAACCCGGGACGCCTCGGGACCCTGATTTCCCGTGAACTGGGAGGTGCAGGCTGGGTGTGGCGAGGAGACAAAGGGTTTATAGACAAAGTCATTGCCTTTGCCTGGAGCCTGAGCTTCCCACACCTTGCTGGGACTAGAACTCAGACCACTTGGGTGCTGTTGACATGTACTCTCACGAGGCTATGCTCGAGCGGCCTAAAAGTTTCAGAGTGTATCCTTGCAGTGAGATTTGAAGGTAAACTCATGAAACCACCTACAAGCACAAGTCGGGGCAGTTCCTGACCCCACTGCTGACCTGTCCCCTCAACCAAGTAGATGAGGACTGCTTTTGGCAGTAGAGAAGGAAAAATAGACCAGGCAGCAAATGGGCGGAAAGGATTCTTTTAAAAAACTGGAATTTCCTCTGGTGTGGCCCATAACTAGGATAGGGTGTGGCACCAAATGAGGAAAGAGGATTCCCATGCGCAAAAAAAAAAAAAAAAAGAAAAAAAAGAACATGTCATTTCTATTTAACCCATTCAGCCAAATCTGGAAGGCAGATGAAGCCACTGACTTTAAACATTGTCCCTGAGGTTGGCTAAGATGCTCAGGTCTGTGGGACAACTGGATTAAAGGAGAAATGAGTCCTAGCCAAATTGACTTGGGAAAATACAAAATTTAAAATCTGATTACTATGTATATGATTCCTCTCTCTCTCTTTCTTTCTTTCTTTCTTCCTTCCTTCCTTCCTTCCTTCCTTCCTTCCTCCCTCCCTCCCTCCTTCTCTCCCTTTCTTCCTTCCTCCCTCCCTCCCTCCTTTCCTTCCTTCCTTCCTTCCTTCCTTCCTTCCTTTCTCTTTTCCTTCCCCCTCTTTGATTCACTGCTATATCCCCACTGCTTATAACTGTGAGTGGAACACACACAAAAAGTTGTGTGGTATGAATGGATGTTTAAAGTAGTCCCCTAGAGCCGGAGACTCTTGGTGACATGGTCACTCTCCCTGGTGAAAAATCTCTCTGTAGACCCCAAGCCCTGCACTAGCAAAGAGCGAGAACAAAGGCTCGTGAGAAGCGTTAGTGCCAGAATCTAAGCCCACTGCTTCAGGAAGAGCCCTCAGCCCTCCAAATCAATAGCAATTATGGAAAAACATCTATCTTGCCAGGAAAACCACCCACATCAGAAATCAGCCAGGAAACTAATGGCCATGACTGCAAGCCTAATGTCAATCAATAAGGTACTTGAATAGCTCAAAGACACAGGAGGTTACATCCAGAGACTCCAGTCCAAGACTGAGCTCCTGATCAAAGCCAGTGAGTCAGCAGTATTTCCTGGGCATGTACCATAGGCAGCCCACTTGGCACTGCAGGACATGACAAAATCCAGGCGGCCATCGAATCATAAACCTCCAACAAAGAAAATGCACATAGATGGTGACTCCTTGCACTGCAAATGCAATGGACACCTTTAGAGAAGTCTCTGGAACTTGGATAACAGATGGACTTCGATGGGAGGAAACTGCTAAGCAGGCATGTCTTTACACCCTCAGCCAGAGGACACATCTCTGGCTCTGCTCTCCCCTAAAATCTCCCTTCACGTGGTCTGAACAGGATGTCATAGCTAGGATGCTATGAATTAGACATCTGTGTAGGTTAACAAGGTTTTTTTGTTGTTTTGTTAAATAACAACTCCTCTGAGTTCCTGAGGATTTTAGTTCCTCAACCATTCCTAACTTAATGAAAATTCAATTTGCTGGGCTCTGGGAAGGTGCAAATTCACTGACATAGGGAGGAAGAGGGAATGTAGCAGATCTGGGTAAGCCTGGGCAGCTGCTGTACCATGTCAAAGAAGAGGGTCTCTAAGAAGGTGGGAGGAAGGCTGAGAAACAAAGACACAATTGCCCGATTAACATAATATGATCAAGGCCAACCATAAAACTAAGAAAAGTACTAGAAAAATCTTCAGTGATTTCTTCCCTCTCCCCTCATACTGTCCCACATTCTCCTACTCCCTGTCTGCCACCCCTTCCCCAAATCAGGCAGTACTTAGACACAGTGCATGCAGATTTTTTTCCCAGCTAGCCCCGGCACCTAAGCACCTTCTGTAACATGCTTCAGTGGGAAAGTGCATTCTCCATTCCAAACCACCACATTCCAGACAGGTACGGTGGCTGGAACTTGAGGACAAGAAACATCAGGAAAGTGGTCTGGGCCCAGGCCCTTGGACCCAAGAGCTGCTGGTCCTTGATAATGGCCCACGTGCACACTTGAGGCCATGCTCCCCACACAGATCAGAGCAAGCACAGCTTTACGAAAGCACATTTTACTACAAAAATGACACTGTTTGGCCCTTAGTGTTTTCAGTGTACTTTACATACTTATTTTTAATGCATACATTTTGAAAAATCTTTAATAGTAGCCCTGTTCGAGTAGAGAGAAGAATGGGCTTCCTTAAGCCACTTTCATAGAAAAGGAAACACATGTTCTTCTACTTCTCAACAGCCTGTTGGTGGAATCCACACCAGACGCCAGGACCTACACACAAAGCTGCGAGGAGGGCCAGGGGCCACACCCTTTTCTGTTCCCTCAGTGACTCACTGTGCATCAGCACTAGCAACAGGACTGTCCTCCCCACAGAACCATGAGGACATTTGCTTCGCGGTGCAAAAGTGTTTAAGCAAGTGGGGAACTCTCTGAGATAGAGTGAAATCCGAAGTTGCTATTCCACAAGATAATTGAAACAAAGGAGTGCAATGAACTGAGATTTCTGTTTTGTTTTACCTGAGGGGGAGGGAGAAACTCAAAGCCCCCACCTTCCCCCACTGCTCCTCTCCTGCTGGTTTCTGCTCCAGCTCCACAAATGCGCATTCCTTTCAAGTAAAGTAACTTGGAACAGATGAGGGTTACTCTCTAGAGGGAAGTGCCCAGGGCCCACTGCTCAGCCTAGGACCCGCAGTTCCCTGGGCGGCCACGCCCTGCTCCCCCACCCCCCAGCCTGGAGCGTTTGGAATGCGGGGCCTCCCTCTGCCCAGCTTCATGTGCTGCCTCCTCTAGCCCCGCTTCCAGAGAGTACTTCAGGGCGATGTCCGCCCGAGCTCCGTACTGCACCCCCAGGCCCCGGGGCAAGGGCCTCCCTCGCTTATGTCCCAAACACCTTGCCTCTGCACCCTCTACCTGCAGACACCCTACTGTGGCCCATCCCTCAAGACCCCTGCCCGGTCGCCTGAGCCTCTGTCGGAAAGGCCGTCCCCTTTCCCTCACAGTGCCCCGCTAGCTCAGCGGCCCCGGGCCATAGCGGACGGGCGGGGCGCGCTCGGCTTACCTGGGCCGGGTGCCGAGAGCTGTTAGTGTCCCCAGAAGCCGAGCAGAGGCGACTGGTCTGGGTGGGGCTTTTATACCCGCCACATCCTCTCTCTGCCAGGCGAGGCCAGGCCTGCCCCGCCCCACCCCGCCTCCCCCTTCCTCTGCCCGCTCCCACCCGCCTCAGGGTGACTCACTCTCCCTGACCCGCTGGCTTGCAGAGACAGCCGCGCCCTGGAATGCTGCCGAGCCGCACCCCGCTGGAGCGACCCCATGCCCAAGGCCCTGCCCTCCACAAGACCCGCCCAGGCTTTCCCGAGGCCCACTGTGGTCCATTTCTTCCTGACTTCCTCATTTCACTTCTTGAGTGCCACGTCGAGTTGCCAGCCTGGGCATGGGTTAATAAATTAGCAAGACTTCAGTAGACTCCGGCTCGGTTAAGTCACTTTTCTGTTTGGCGTCAATGCACTGGAGGAAAGAACTGTTCCAAGAAACATAAATCTGGATTCCCTTGAGCTGGGCCATTGGCACCCAGCTCCCTATTACTGTCTGCAAACATATTGTCCTAACCTCTGTCCCCCTGTTCCAGCAGGAGCACGGAGAGGCAATCGCCAGCTCCTGCCCTACAGCGTCTGGCTGCCCCAGCATTTGGGTGCAGGACATCTGAAGCCAAGGGTGGGATGAGGGGTGGGAGGCCAAAGCCCAGAGCCAGGATCCCACCCAGCTCCCAGCCCAAGGTGCCCTTTCCTGGGGATAGCTGTACCCGCCTCTCTCTGCACCCTGGTACTGGATGCGCACCCCCACGTGAGGATCATGGCATGCTGTCCCGAGGTGGGTGGGTCCAGTGGCTTTGAACTCTGAGAACCAATAAAGAAATTTCCTCCCTTTCTTTTGTAATGATTGCCAGTTTTTTTGTTTTGTTTTGTTTGTTTGTTTTTCACTGCCACTTAACCAGCACCTTTGCTCGGTTTTGCTGCTCTCACTTGTCTTCCCTGCTTTGTTACCCTAAGTCACATTGGCAGCATGTGGTCAAATACGGTTTATGTGTGTGATTGCGCAAATTTCCTATGCAAATCTCAAACTAGCAGGAGCGCTTCACTAAAAATCCTGAAGACCTCTCACAGTGGCTCCAACTCTGTTCTTGCAAACTAATTGACCTTGCCGATCCATTTTTGCTTTCCAGATGAGCGTCATTCCACTCCTAGGAATCAGAGAACGATGACAAGGCCAGTGGACCACAGAGCGCATTAGCAGCAAGGCCACCAGAGCTGGAGGCTCCTAACACCCAGCTCAGAGTTCTCTGCTTCCTTTTTCCCTAGGCATTATGCACCATGGGCCCTACCAGAAAGACAGAAAACAAAGCAACATTTTTGGTACAATTTCTGATTTACATTTACAGCTCTTCTATTTAGTCTGCAAACTTTTTTTTTTTTGGAGAGGTTTTTGCTACAGGGTGCATGCGCTTGCCAGAAAGACAGAGAGAGACAGAGAGAAGCAAGAAATCACTCCTCAAGGGGGGATGGTCACATCGCATTCATCCTCTCGGGATCTTGGGCACACACGCACATGCACCTGGCGTGAGTTTAAGTCATGGGGTCTGGGAATCGAACCGTGGTCGACTACTTGGGAGTCCAGTGATACAGCCATTATGCCAACTGCTGGTCTCCAGACTGCAAACTTTAAAGGCAGAACCATGTTCATCTGCCCCACTTGGTGTGAACATTTTGCAACACAAAGGGAACTCAAGCAGACTAAGGACAGGCAGGACTTCACCTCCCTTCTCTACTTCTCCAGATAGGTTCCTTCTAGCCTCTTATTTGTAATGGCGCTGTGGTTAGCCTCTAGAGAAGATCAGATTGAATTCAAATCACGTGGAATATATAAAAGCCACCAAATATCCAAAAGAATGTTTTGCTTATCTTGGTCACCCAGCAAATCCTATCTTAAATATAGATCTGTGCAATGGCCAGGCTTTGCCTCATGCTGAAGGACTTTGCACTGATGTTATCATAAAAACGAAGCTATGAGAAGTCACAGTTCTCTTTCCAAGGAATGTGAGCCAGTTCTGCCAGTATAAAAGAACTTCTGAATCTTTGTCCAACGATGCCCTTTTGTTTCCTTCTCCTGTCTCCCCAGAGCTGGGGAGAGTGTTGATGGTATCGGACCCCAGACTCTGTCTCCTGTTGTGTATGTTGTCATCAGAGTGCCTGCCTTTGTTCTCACTATATCTGCTATACCTCCACGTCTGATGGCTCCGGCCTAGCAATGACAGCGTTCATTAAATGTGATAGAATGAGGACAGCCTAGAGGAGCCCGATCCCACGTAACCACCTGGTTCAAATTCCAGCCTGGTGGCTTGAAAATCACTCCAGGCTTGCGCACAAGCATGTCTAATATCCCAGCAGGATGGAGAAATGGAGAAAGGACTGCAGCATGACCACTCCCCATTGGGGTGGTAATTTCTCCCTTTCTCACGCTGGCTCTTCCTGTCTCTATCTTTTTTTTAGCATACACATACACCTGGCAATTTAAAATTTAAAAAAAAAAATTTTTTTTTCAAGATTTTTTTTGCCAGGGCTGGTAGGTGGCGTAGTGGTTAAAGGCGCTGGACTCCCACATGGCTATAACGGCGTGTCAAGTCCCAGACCTGGTGGCTTGCTTTCTCACTTTCCCTCTCTGTCTCTCTCTAATCAAATGAAAAAAAATAATAATAAATAAAGTTAAATAGAAGTAAATCTCAAAATTATTTATTTATTTATTTATTTATTTATTTATTTATTTATTTTTGCCATAGGGCACATGTGCTCATTGGAGACACTGAGAGAAAGAGGAAAAGTGAGAAATCAACCCCTGAGGGGAATGGCCACACTGCAATCCATTCTCCTCTTGGGATCTTGGACACCCATGCACACATGCCTAGAGTGATTTTTAAGCTTTGATGTTTAGGACTCTGAGAAGTCAGACCTGGGGGATCCAGCCTCCCAACTTCCATGCAATCTACTGCCCCAAACTTAATATTCTAATAGTTTAGAATACTCTAACATTTTATTATATTCTATTAAGAGGGGCCTTAGAGATTGTTGTCCTCTCTCAATTTTTATATATGAAGACACTGAAGCCCAAATAAGGTCTATGCAGTTCAAAAATTAAATCATGTATCCAAGTTCCTTGTATCAGTTACTTACCGCAGTTTAATAAATTGTTTATGTAGTAGTTAAAGCATAAACAACTATTTATGTGCTCATGATTGTACAATTGGGGCAGGACTCGGTGGAGACAGCTTGGCTCTGTTCCACATGATACTGGGTGGGTAATTCAATCTGTGGTTAGGTGATCAAAAGCAGCTTCACCAGCCTGCCCATGGCCTGCTAGTGGGAGAGACCGATCCCGCATGGCTGACCACAGGCCCTGACTGCTTGAGAAACACACCAGGTGTGTGTGCACACATGCCCAAAGTCCCAGTAGGATGGGAGAGACCCCACTAGGGGGTGCTTTCTACTTCTCTCTCTGTCTCTATTTCTCTTTAGAGAATAAATGTACCCTCTGAAAATTAAAAACGAGGGGAAAAGGCTAGTTTACTCATTTTGTGCTTCAGCTGGGGTTGCTAGAATGACAGAAAGCAAGCTGGACCTTTGCCTCTGGTGGTGTCTCTTATCTCCATGTCTGTCTGTCTGTCTGCCTGCCTTTCTCTCTCTCCCCCCACCAAGGCAGTAAATGGCAACTGGATTTGAGCAAAAGCTGAAGTTGCCGGAACTCTTAGCTTGCATGGTGTGAAAAGCAGGCACTAGGCTGGATTTAAGTTATGAGTTGTCGTCTGCTGACCCTTGCTTTAATCTATAGCTCTGCCCAGTTGTCAGCTTTGCCCTCTGGCCTCTTGACTCCACTCTCTTAAGATATTGTTCCTTCTCTTTAAGAATGGCCCTCATTAGTAGCTGAGCAGCTATCTTATTTTGCTCATGTCGACAGAAACTCAAAAGTCTAGAAACTTCTTTTGGTTTTCAGGGTTTTGCCATAGGGTACACACACTCACAAGAAAGAGCCAGAGAGAGCCATAGAGTAGGGGAAGTGAGAACTCACCCTCCCCAACCCCAGAGAGGGGGATGGCCATGCCATAATCCCTTCACTTCCATTCTTCTGGGATTTGGGGCACACATGCACATACACCCAGCATGATTTTCAAGCTGCCAGGTCAGGAACTCAAACCATAGTCTGCCATGTGTGAGTCCAGCTCCTTAACGACCATGCCACCTGCTGGTCGTTTTCTTTTTTCTTTTTTAAAGTACATTTGTTACCAGGCCCAGAACTAGAACAGTGTCATTCCCACTGCATTTCACTGGTGAAAGCTAGTCACATCGTCCAGATTCAAGACAGTGGGAAACATACTTTCCTCTTCCTAAAAAGCCATGACACATGTTTACCTGGTGGACAGAAGAGCTGGCCACCATCTTCATAGACCTCAAACTCAAGAAAAGCAGAGCTGAGGCCAGAATATATTTTTCTACCTTCCAGTTCACTGCTTTTTCCGTGACATCATTATTTTTCAACTATCATCATTGCTTCAGTGAGAACCATGCTGGCCCCAGGCTTTCAACGCTGTCTGATTTAGACACCCACTGGCCATCAAAGCTGCTATTTTGTCTGAGCCTGTTATATGAGGGCTCAAAAGTTCATGGAAAATGCATATTATGGAAAATCTATGTATAGATTTTAAAACTTTTTTCAGATAATTTAATTTTGGTATTTTCCACAGAATTTTTTTTCTATAGGGCATGTACACTCACCAGAGAGAGAGAGAGAGAGAGACAGACATTTTTTAAAATCACCCCTGGGACTAGCAGTTGGTATAATGGCTATGTCAATGAACTCCCATGTAGTTGACCGTGGTTCGAGTCCCGGACCCAGTGGCTTAAACTCATGCTGGGTGTGTGTGCATGTGTGCCCAAGATCCCAAGAAGAGAATGGAAGAGAAGGGATTGCAGCATGGCCATCCCCCCCCCAGGGGGTGATTTCTCGCTTTCTGTCTCTCTTTCTCTGTCTTTCTGGTGAGCACACGTGCCCTATAGCAAAACAAAAAACAAAAAACAAACAAACAAAAAACCTCTCAAAAAAAATAAAAATCACCCCTTGGGGGGATGGTCATGCTGCAATCCCCTCTCCTCTGTTCTCCTCTCAGAATGTTGGACACACATACACATGTACCCAGCAGGAGTTTTAAGCCACCAGGTCCAGGATTCAAACCACAGTTGACCACAGGGAATTCCAGTGATGTAACCATTATGCCATCTGCTGGTCTCTTTCACAAATTTTTTGAAGTCCCCACAAATGTAATCAATATACCATAATATCCTGCATCCAAAGATGTTGCCAAAAGAGAAAAAGCATCTATCCGGGATATCCAATTTACAAATGTTAGGAGTTTCAGAAAGAAAATAATTGGCAAAATGGGAGAAAAAAAATTCACCCAAGAAATAACTAAAGACAATTTTCTGGAACTGAATGCTTTGAGTTCTAAAACTAAAAAGTCACAATGAATAAAAAAAACAAACCCAAGACATACTATCACAGCATTTTAGAACACTGGGTGGGGGCAGGGAGAAAGAACTTTCTGAAAAGATTTGAGAGATAAAACAAGTCGTACATGAAGAATCAGAAATGAGAACAGCATTGTATTCAGTATCAGCTGGGTTTCTAAATCCTATTTCTCAGTGAAAGGAGCTAGGGTTCCTCAGAGAAATGCTGGAGTCCAAGGATGGGGCAAAGAAAATACAAAGTGGGATTTGTGGTAAACAGCCGATGGGGACATATCAGAAAGACGCAAAAGCCAGGTTGAAAGAGACACTTACTGGTAAAATTTGGGATAATTTGAACATCAAATTGTATAATGTTAGGAATCAAGTATATCACATAAAATAGTCTAAACTGATTGTAAAATAAAATACAAAGGCTGGGGAGGGAAAGCTCTTCTTTATAAATGAACAGCAACTTGTAAATCTATCAGGAATGATACACGGCCAGGTGAAAATTTTTCTTTCTTTTCTTTTTTAAGAGAGAGATTGTTTCTATAGGGCATGTGTATTTGCCGGAGAGACAGAGAGAAAAGGCGAGAAATCACTCCTGGCCCCTGGGGGTATGGTCATACTGCAATCCCTTCTCCTCCTTGGTTTTTGGGCGCACACACATGCCTAGTGTGAGTTTCAAGCCTTTGGGTCCAGGACTCCAACTGTGGTCAGCCATGTGAGAGGCCAGTGCCTTAACCAAAATGCCTCCTACTGGCCCCTGGTCAAGTGAAATCTTTGAAAAACCTCAGTTTTTTCATTTGTCATATGGCAGGACTATAGTAAAGATCAGACCATGTATAAAGTATGCTTGGTATACTGTAGGTGCTGACAAACAGTGGCTATTTCATTGGCATTTTGTGTCTTTTCTGTACAGCAGTGCTGGACTCACAGTAAGTCCTCCATGAATCTTTGTTTAATTCAGGCATTGTGACCAAATCACGTGGTGAACTCTCAGTGGGACAAACCATGGTTTCTGTTTTGTTTTAAAGTTTTGCCTAGGGCATGAGTGCTGGCTGATGAAAGAAAGAGAGAGGGAAAGTGAGAAATCATTTCCCAGTGAGGGTGACCATGCCATAATCCCTTCTCCATTCTCTTCCTGGGAATCTGGGCACTTATACACATATGCCCAGCATGAGTTTCAAGTCACTGTGTCTGGGATTTGAACTGTGGTTGACCACGTGGGACTCCAGTGCCTTAACAACCATGCATGTGGAGCAAGTGTGCTGCCCTCTAGTTTTGATATATTTTTAAGCAAAAATCTATAGTGACTCCACTCTCTTTTTTTTAAGGTTTTTGCCATAAGGTGCATGTACTCACCAGAGACACAGTGAAAGGGAAAGTGAAAAATTAGCCCCAGTGGGATGGCCATGCTGTAATCTCTTCTCCTCCATCTCCTCTTAGTTTTTTTTTTTTTTTTTTTTTTTAGAGGTTTTTGCTTTAGGACAACTGGTCTCGCCCATCTTTTTTTAGAGGTTTTTGCTATAGGACACATGTGCTCGCCAGATAGACAGAGACAGAGAAACAGAAAGCAAAAAATCACTCCCCAGCCCCCAGGGGGGATGGCCACGCCACAATCTCTTCTCCTCCATTCTCCTCAGGGTACGCATGCACACGCGCCCGGCGTGAATTTTAAGCCACCGGGTCCAGGACGCGAACCGCGGTTGACTACGTGGGAGTCCAGAGACATAGCCATTACGCTAACTGCTGGTTCCTCCTCTTAGGTTTTGTGGCACACACGCACATGTGCCCAGTGTGAGTTTCAAGCCACTGGATCCAGGATTTGAACCATGGTAGGCCAAGTGCAGGTCCAACATTTTAACTACTATGCCACCTGCTGGCCTCCTCCAATGTCTCTTTTTCAGTCACAGTGGACACTTTTGGGCTCAATTCACTCTCTTTAAGACACAGTTCTGATTCCATGACCTATCTCCAGAAACTCTTGCCAGGCAGGTTCTGGCCTGCCTGGGCAACCGTAACTGTCATATCTCTCTGGCTGCTTCTCTGAGCAGTTCTCCACTCTGCCCCCGTGATGGAAGGCCCATTCCTATTTTCCTCAGTGGTGAACTTTGTCTCGTCTTTCAAGCTGCAGACCAACTATTATTTTCTCCTCAAAGTAGAACCTTTCCTAAACTCTCCAGGCACAGCTGGCTATAATCAGTTTTTCTACACATTTAAATATAGTTGCCCTCTTGCAACTGTCACCTTGTATTGCTGTTTTGTTTTCTAATCTGTTGGTCTCAGCAAGTAAGCAGACACTCCTTGAGGACAGCACTTGGCTGTTTCCTCTTCATTTTAACTAGGCCTTAGTACCTGTTTCTCTCTTATTTCACTCCATTTTTTTTTAATAATTATTTTAATTTTTAAATAGTTTTTATCTGAAATTTGCTACAGAGCATGTGTGATCACCAGAGACAGAGAGAAAAAATGAGAAAGAAAGCAAGCCACCAGAGCAGCCATGTGCAAGTAGAGCGCCTTAACCATCACACTACCTGCTGGCCCTGCCTTTAATTCGTTCTTCAATTCGTCTGCCAACAATCATAAGGCTGATAGCATGCAGTGTGCTGGAAATGGCAAAATGCGAATTCTCACCCATTATCGATCGAAGGGCAATTTGGCAGTATTTATCAATAAAGTGCTTCTGACCTTTGATTCCGAGATGTTGCTTCTACGAAGCTGTCTTGATGAGAGAGTCTTACATGACCACAACAATATAAGGAACGACATTTACTGCAGCATTTTAAGGTTGAAACACCCTAAGTACCCATCATTAAAGCTAGATTAAATTAATTACAGAAGCTCCATGCTGTGAAATGAAGCTGCTAAAAAGAAGCATGCAGTGGATAGATCAATATGTTCTCACATACGCAGATGATCAAAATACAGTGTTAAGTGAAAGAACAAGCAGAACTTAAGTGTAAAACTGGGTCTTGTTAGCATACTGAGTTACAATGTTGATACATGAAGGAACTTGAAAAAGTTTGTAGAAAATGGAATTAAATGAGAAGTTTATTCGGGTGCAAAAAAGTTGAACTTCCTGGGAACCAGCAGTTAGTGTAATGGCTATGTCGCTGGACTCCCACGTAGTCGACCACGGTTCGCGTCCTGGACCCGGTAGCTTAAAACTCACGCCTGGCGCGTGTGCATGCGTGCCCAAGATCCCGAGAGGAGAATGGAGGAGAAGGGATTGTGGCATGGCCATTCCCCCTGGGGTGTGATTTCTCGCTTTCTGTCTCTATGTCTCTCTCTGTCTGTCTGGCGAGCGCAAGCGCACTATAGCAAAAATCTCTCAAAAAAAAAAATTGAACTTCCTGTATAAGTTTCTCATAATATGCATTGCCATGAACTTTTCGAAGACTTTCATATAAAACATGAAAATTGATTTGGTTACAAATGTTCACATCGTCTAGATCATCTTATATCAACTTACTGGAATAGTGGGATGTTTCTTGAGCTATAAATATCTTGGTTCCTATCTCAGCATTTTTTTTGAATTTTTATAGGTTAGCAAGTCAGAGGATTAATTTACTCTCAGTTTCTATTGTCTCTTTGAGAAGCATTTTTCACATAATTTTGTAAGAAATGCATACAATTATTTAGGTGCTAAGTATCTGTCATCGACTGAAAAAACTAACCCTGCTGTGTGGAACATATCTCTTCGCCAGACTCTATTCAAAACACAAGTTCTCTTTCATAAAACAGAACACCATCAGTGTGTATAAGAATACTCACAAAAGACAGGTGCATTTTGCATCTTGTCATCTTTAACGAAGGTCCCTGGTGCTGGGTTCAGCGTTGCATGCTTGTAAGACTCAGCAACACAGGAGAGGGAGCAGGAAGACCGTGACCTAGTGAGACCTTGCCCAAATAACCAAACAAACGTATTTTGAGTGTTTCTGACACTTATTAAACTTTAAAATATATGGCTATGATTGAGAAATAAGTTATCACTTTAAACAGGCTATATAGAATATTATTAAAATAACAGGCAATTGTTAAATACCCCTAATGCTGCAAAAATATACAGATTTCCTTTCTTTCTCTCCTTTTTCTTAGTTTTTTCTATAGGGTACATGCACTTGCCAGAGAAAGAAAGTGGGAAATTACCACTCAAGGGGTGATGATCATGCCATAATCCCTTCTCCTCCACTCTTTTCTGGGGATTTTGTGCATGCATGTACATGCACCCACACCCAGTATGATTCTCAAGCCACTGGGTGTGAGATTCAATGAGGCTAGCCATGTGTGATCCTGTACCTTAACATCCATGTCACCGGCTACCCTACAAATTTAAAACTTTAATCATGTGAAACCATGTGATAACATGTGTAGGTAATTAGATCTTGGGGATTTACCTTGCAAACACGATCTCTACTGACAGGGTACAAGTATTCCTCCCTGCTCTATCCGGGAGTACAGGCAAAGGATAAGCCCGGTTTTGTGCCAGGAGTCCAGAACCCGTACAGGGCTGCCATGAAAGCACATAAAAAGTTGGGGAAGAACTAAGTTAGATACCAAGGGAGGAATCCAGGGCACTATAAACTGTCAAAACCACTAAAGGACAGGGCAAGATCTCAACACAAGAAAAAGCCAAGGCTCCAGAGGCGGAAAAACAGGGAACCGAGTAGGAAGGAAGGGAAGCGATGAGCAGGCTGTGGGCGGGGCTGCCCTGGCATCACTCCCTCTGACAGGGGACACCGGGTACTTGGCAGGGAGTGGTAGGGGAGGTCAGGCTCGGTTGGTGCAAACAGCTGACGTGGATACTACACCAGCTCTGCCATTTCTTCAAAGGATGCTAAAAGAGAAGAACAAGGAGGAAGAAAAGAGGAAGATGACAGTGAAGGAGAGTATTATGAGGGAGGAAATTGAGAAACTGTGACAGAGACAAATGGAGGAGAGTTTTGTACTCCTGACCCAAGCAGGCCTATTATTTTTAAAAATAATTACTTAAGGGACCAGCAGTTAGCGTAATGGCTATGTTGCTGGACTCCCATGTAGTCGACCACGATTCACGGCCCGGACCCGGTGGCTTAAAACTCACGCCAGGCGTGTGTGCGTGTGTGCCCAAGATCCCAAAAGGAGAATGGAAAAGGGATTGCAGCATGGCCATCCCCCCTGGGGGGTGATTTGTTGCTTTCTGTCTCTCTGTCTCTGTCTTTCTGGTGAGTACATGTGCCCTATAGCGAAAACCTCTCCAAAAAAAGAAATAATAATAATTACTTAAGTTTATTTATTATTTTAGTTTGCTACAGGGCACATTCACTCACCAGAGAGACAGAGAGAAAGGGAAAGTGCGAAAGCAGGCCACCAGGTCCAGGATTCGAACCACTGTCAGCCATGTGGCAGTCCTGCTCCTTAACCCATTACCTATTATTTTAAAAGTGTATTTCTTTCTTTCTTCCATGAGGGAGAGAAACAAAGAGAGAGAGAGATTCAGTACCCTCAGCAGGGTCTTGAAGTTAGGATCCACCCCAGCCTTAGCCAGCCCCAGATCAGGAGCACATACCTCTCTGTCATACTCAGGGAAGTTTCCGGACATGAACCCAGAACCCCCTTCCCCCCTGGGGCTCAGCCTCATACAATGTCGTACTTCTCTGCTGCGCCATTGTCTGTCCCCATTATCCATAATTTCTTAAAATCTCTGACTGCCTCTGGCAGGGGACACCGGGTACTTGGCAGGGAGTGGTAGGGGAGGTCAGGCTCGGTTGGTGCAAACAGCTGACGTGGATACTACACCAGCTCTGCCATTTCTTCAAAGGATGCTAAAAGAGAAGAACAAGGAGGAAGAAAAGAGGAAGATGACAGTGAAGGAGAGTATTATGAGGGAGGAAATTGAGAAACTGTGACAGAGACAAATGGAGGAGAGTTTTGTACTCCTGACCCAAGCAGGCCTATTATTTTTAAAAATAATTACTTAAGGGACCAGCAGTTAGCGTAATGGCTATGTTGCTGGACTCCCATGTAGTCGACCACGATTCACGGCCCGGACCCGGTGGCTTAAAACTCACGCCAGGCGTGTGTGCGTGTGTGCCCAAGATCCCGAAAGGAGAATGGAAAAGGGATTGCAGCATGGCCATCCCCCCTGGGGGGTGATTTGTTGCTTTCTGTCTCTCTGTCTCTGTCTTTCTGGTGAGTACATGTGCCCTATAGCGAAAACCTCTCCAAAAAAAGAAATAATAATAATTACTTAAGTTTATTTATTATTTTAGTTTGCTACAGGGCACATTCACTCACCAGAGAGACAGAGAGAAAGGGAAAGTGCGAAAGCAGGCCACCAGGTCCAGGATTCGAACCACTGTCAGCCATGTGGCAGTCCTGCTCCTTAACCCATTACCTATTATTTTAAAAGTGTATTTCTTTCTTTCTTCCATGAGGGAGAGAAACAAAGAGAGAGAGAGATTCAGTACCCTCAGCAGGGTCTTGAAGTTAGGATCCACCCCAGCCTTAGCCAGCCCCAGATCAGGAGCACATACCTCTCTGTCATACTCAGGGAAGTTTCCGGACATGAACCCAGAACCCCCTTCCCCCCTGGGGCTCAGCCTCATACAATGTCGTACTTCTCTGCTGCGCCATTGTCTGTCCCCATTATCCATAATTTCTTAAAATCTCAATCTTAGTTTCTTATTATTTAGGAAGTATAATTTTGAGTCAGGATATCTGTAACATCCTTGTTAGCTTTTAAAGAGACCTGTAAGATCCTGTTAAAACTGTCTCAAATTCTGTAAGACTGACACAAAACAATCGATGAAAGAGTCAAAATCCACCTTTATTGCTCAGACACAGAATTTTAGTTCGATCATTTAGATCATTTAATACTTTGGCATCTGGTTTGGTGTGTGTGTGTGGAGGGGGAGGTTCTGATAGGAATGACTGATTGCCTTCTAAGAGGGTGGGTCTCCAGAAATGTGTTAGAAGCAAAAGGCAAACAGATAGGTGAGCTGTTCTCATCAGCATGAGCTGCATTTTTTTCTTTTCTATTTTAAAATGAGAGGTTAGACTTCCCTAAATCCCAGTGCTCCACTCCCTAATTTGGAGATGAACCAGATGATTTCACTGGTCTTTCCCTTCTCTGGTCTCTATGATTCATCAGCTATAGCAACTAGGGTGGGGTAAACAACTCCAGTATTCAGGTTGTATTGTAGTTCAAAAGCAAGAAATCTAAGAAAAACAGAGATGTGAAAGAAGGCCCGACCTCACGACCTCATGGTGAGGCCCTCTAGGGAGTGGCATCTCCCACTGCCGGGATCTAGGAGGGACTTTGGTCTGTCTTCTTTTTTATTTCCCCCACCTTGACTTCGTTTTAATTTGCATCTATGACATATTATAGAACATAAATATACAATAAGCAAAAATTATAAAAATCATCTACCAGAAAATTAAAGTTCATTCCTAAGAAAGATAACCAGATTAACATTTTCAAACTACAGTGGTAGTGGCTCAGCGTCATCAGTGCCATCACTGGAGCTATCGTCAGGAGCTGTGGACAGCCCAGGAAAGCAGTTTCTCAGTTATGAGGATTCCATCCTCTTTCAAAAATCAATTGATTGGAGTTGGCGTTCAGGGACCGAGGCGACCGAAGCTATGCTCTAAACCCCCTCTTCTAGACACCTAAAACACAGAGACAGGGTGCTCATTGAAAGTCCTCAAAGTTTATTGAACCCCCTGCTTTAAAGAAGAAACTCCTTTTTATAAATCTGAACTCAAAATCTTTCTGTGGATACCACATCACAAAACACAGTTAGAGGAGAGATTTTGTCACAGAATGACCAGAAACCACCACAGAGACACAAGAAATATGAGAAACCAAGAAAGTATTTCTCCCCTAAAAGAAAAGAACAATCCTTCATCATCCACAGACAGTACAGTAGAACTCATGGAAATGTCTGATAAAGACTTCAGAATATTCATAGTGACAAAACTGAACGAGATGCAAGAGTTGAGAGACAATGAACTCCAGAAGATGCAGGAGAAAAGAGAGGAGTCCCAGGAGGTGAGGACGTTCTTGCATGATCTGGAAGAGGAAATACACACCATAAAAAAGAATCAAATGGAGCTGTTAGAGATGAAGGCTGCAATACAGGAAATCAAAACCTCCATAGAAAGTATTAAAAGCAGATTAGTCCATGGAGAAGATCGAATCTCGGATGTTAAAGACAAAACCTCTGACCTAGAAAAAATAACCAGAAAACCTGAGAAAACAACCAAAAAACTTGAGAATACTATACCAGAAATACTAGATATCATTAAAAGCCCTAATATCTGGATAATTGGTATCCCAGAAGGTGAGAAACTAATAAGGGCATTGATAATCTATTCCATAAAATCCTGGAAGAAAACTTTCCAAATCTAGAAAGGCATTCAAATATCCAGACCCAAGAAATACACAGGATCCCACATAGAATCAACCCAAGATCTTCTCCAAGGCACATCATAGCCAGATTGGCCAAAACCACAAAGACAAGATACTAAAATTGGCAAGAGAAAAATGTCAGGTTACTTATAAAGGCTATCCCATCAGGCTAAATCTCTGACCTTTCATCAGAAACACTGTGAGCAAGGAAAAGAATGGGAAAATATATTCAAAGCGTTAAGTGAAAAACAGTTTCGGGACCAGCAGTTAGCGTAATGGCTATGTCGCTGGACTCCCATGTAGTCGACCACGGTTCGCGTCCCGGACCCAGTGGCTTAAAACTCACGCCGGGCATGTGTGCGTGCGTGCCCAAGATCCCGAGAGGAGAAGGGATTGCAGCGTGGCTATCCCCCCTGGGGGGGGTGATTTCTCACTTTCCTTCTATCTCTCTGTCTCTGTCTTTCTGGCAAGCGCACGTGCCCTATAGCAAAAACCTCTCCAAAAAAAAAAAGAAAGAAAGAAAAACCGTTTCAACCAAGAATACTATAATACTATACCTGGCCATATTATCCTTCATGTAGGAAGAAAAGATAAAAACATTCTCAAACAACACCCAAAAGAATCTACCAATACCAGACCAGCCCAAGAAGTTCTGAAAGGAGTGCTTTACCAGGAAAACTAAAGAAACACATACAGAAAAAAGAGAACAAAAGCAACCAAGAAAATGATCAATTTAATGCTAGGGACAAGAAATATCAATAAGAGGGACCAGCAGTTAGCATAATGGCTATGTCACTGAGCTCCCATGTTGACCGTGGTCTGAGTGCCGGACCCAGTGGTTTAAACTCACACCGGGTGCATGTACGTGCCTGCCCGAGACCCCAAGAAAAGAATGGAGAAGGGATTGCAGCATGGCCATCCTCCCTTGGAGGGGGGGTATAACTTCTCGCTTTCTGTCTGTCTCTCTCTGTCTTTCTGGCAAGTGCACACGCCCTATAGCAAAAACCTCTCTCAAAAAAAGAGAAAAGAAATATTAATAATAACATTGAATGTTAACTTCCAGGATTTAAACAGAAAGATCAGACCACAGTAACATTGCAGAAGAGAGATTAATTATGTAAGACTGAACTGGTGAAATAGAATTTTATGACTTTTGAGTAAAACATAACTGACTTTTTTACTATGCTTTGTTTTCCCAAATTAAGAATTTTTCTTTCTTTTGATAGTTTCAGCAATTTGTTAAAATATTTTTTTCTTCTGGTTTGTTTCTTTAAATGGAAACATAAACTTTTCTCCCTTCCTGATCCCTCTGGAATTGGAAAATATTTGGAATATTCTTATTTGTAATAGAATGGTTATTTGCATAAGTTCAATCATTCCTGTTGCCTTGAATCAGAAATTGGAAATACTCGTTATTGGACAGGGCTTTGACTGGAATGTCATATCTGAAGATTAAACCAGAAAACTATGGAACTAAGGTGGATCTCAAGTAAGTCCACAGAAGCTCCTGGAAAGATGGCCTGGCACCATAATAGTTCTGCCTAGCAGAGAGGATTAGAGATCACCCCTGGGGGGTGATTTTTCACTTTCTGTCTCTCCGCCTCTCTCTGTCTTTCTGGCAAGCGCAGGTGCCCTATAGCAAAAACAAAACAAAACAAACAAACAAAAAAAAAACAAAAAACAACTAAAAAAAATACTGTCTGTTGTTATAAAGTCACAAATGAAAGTATGACAAATATTTCAAATATTATCTTTAAAATTCAGTTTTTTGAAATTTTGACAGTCAAGCACTATGGAGGAATATGAGCAAAAACATTTTATATGTAAAGTAAATGTTTGTGGGAAAATATAAAAATAAAAGAAGATAAAAAAAAAAAGGTGGCAAAAGCTAACACAATGGTCCTAACTGAGAAATATGAGGGTACTTCAAAAGGATTATGGAAAAATGGAATTGAAGTATGAGTTCATTTTGGTGCACAAAGAGTTTGGGGATCCATGTAAAGTGGATTTCACTGTGCTTTGAAGACCCCTCATACTTCCTAGGAGATTGCCCTCAGTCCACTGCCTCCTATCTTTTCTCTATTTTTCCATAAAACTGATGTCAAAAATGCTTATTCTTGTACAGATGAAAGTTCAGTTGGCTTTGATCCTCATGACCGGAACAAGCTGCCAGTATCAACCTATCCTAACCAAAGAACTCTCCAGACGATTTCACTGAATTTAACAAGCACTGAGTATCCGCCCAATGGCAGGCACTGGGGCAGAACTATATACAGCAGGTACACGAGGAAAAAAAAACAACACAGCAACTTGTCCTTAAGGAGGAGTGAAAGTAAATTAGGAATTAGAACCGAGAATGGGACCAGTCATGAAATCACAGTGGTAGGAGAGCACAATAAGAGAATGACAAATTCTCCAGGGCAGTTAACCTTTAGAGAAAGGCAGGAAGCCGCCTCACCTTGCCAGTGCATTCGCAGTGAGTCACAGTTACTTGAAGTCCTTGCACAACCGCGAAAGAGGAAATGTAACGTACACCAGCTATAGTATTCAATGTCGACAGGAAGTGCCAGTGAAGAGAGGTGTGACTGTTCATTTTTAAATAAATCATCTAAGATAAAAACAGGTAAAGAAGATTAGCTATTACAGGAGGTCTCTGTTTATTTGATAAATGGCACCATTGTGAGGATATTTTGGGAACTCAGTTGTTTCCTTAAAGCCAAAAGTAAGTGTGGGTCACCTGAGAGAAGGCTTGAGAACGATCTAACGGTCATTCCATTCAGAGCCACCACTAGTAACTGGAAGGCCAAAGGACAGGAGTGGGAAATGATATTGAAAAACTGGGGTAGAGACACAGGAAGCCATGAGCAGATCCTCACTTGATAACATTATTTGACAAAATTAGCCTGATTCATTTTCTCATTTTACAAAAATCTGATCCTTTTGATATGAGATCTGAAGTGAATATTTTCCTTCCAAATCAAGTTTTTAGAGTTCCTGAGAGACTAAGTATTCATAAATATTAATTAATGACATTAACTTTTATTATTGTTATTATTTTTTAGTTTTTTTGTCACAAGGCATGTGTGCTTGTTAGAGACAGACAGTGAGAGGGAACGAGAGAAATCAACCCACCTAGGGGAGGGTCATGCTGCAATCTTCTGTCCTCCATTCTCCTCCTGAGATTTTGAGCATGCGTGCACACAGGCCCAGCGTGATTTTCAAGCTGCTGGTTCTGGAACTCATACCATGGTCGACCATGTGGGAGTCCAGCACCTTAACCACTATGCCGCCTTCTGGCCCCTAATGCTATTAATTTTTTGTAATAATTTTTTTGGTAAAAATGTACAAAAATATAGTAGACTGAAATGGAATCTTCGATGATGACATATCTGTAGATGATGTATTTACACACAAAGCAGCAGCTGAAAATCCAGTATTACTACGAGCAAGAGCATAACTGAGCTCGTTGCAGTTCCTAGTGAAGGACATCAGCCCAGTGGGGACCTTAGCTGAAGCGGTTCAAGACCACCAGTCCCTTTCCCTTTCCCAAGCTAGTGGCATGCTCGTGGGCATTCTGGACAGCCAGAACAAACTTAGACCTGGGCCCAGACAGCTGATGAGAAAAGAAGGGAAGCGTTACTGGATGCTAAGTCAGAGGCGGAGACCCCTCCACCTCACTGCTCCCCAACCTCCATACCCTGCAGCCAGTGCTCACAGAGGTCTGGGGCTGTGGATATTGTTCCTTCATAAACAGAAATCATTTCTCAGAATGGCTAACAAACCCTTATGTTAGTCTTCAAGTAAATTAGTCTGTTAGTAACTTCTGTTCAAAATAAACTCGTATTCTTGGGAACCAGCAGTTAGCGTAATGGCTATGTCGCTGGACTCCCACGTAGTCGACCGCGGTTCGCGTCCCGGACCCGGTGGCTTAAAACTCACGCTGGGCGCGTGTGCATGTGTGCCCAAGATCCCAAGAGGAGAATGGAGGAGAAGAGATTGCGGCGTGACCATCCTCCCTGGGGGGTGATTTCTCGCTTTCTGTCTCTATGTCTCTCTCTGTCTGGCGAGCGCACGCGCCCTATAGTGAAAAACCTCTCAAAGAAAAAAAAAAAAAAAAAACTCGTATTCTTGGGACCACCAGTCAGTGTAATGGCTATGTCACTGGACTCCCATGTAGTCAACCGCGGTTTGAGTCCCAGACCCGGTGGCTTAAACTCATGCCGGGTGCATGTGCGTGCGTGCCCAGGATCCTGAGAGGAGAACGGAGAAGGGATTGCGGTGTGGCCATCCCCCCTCGGGGGTGATTTCTCACCTTCTGTCTGTCTCTCTCTGTCTTTCAAGGCAAGCGCACACGTCCTATAGCAAAAACCTCTCCCCGAAAAAAGAAAAAAAAAAAAACTTATGTAGTTACAAAGAAAAACATATTAAACATTAAATATTAACATTAAAGCATTCTGGGCAGGACCAGAAGCTGGCATAATGGCTATGTCGCTGGACTCCCACTTAGTCGACCATAGTTGGAGTCCCACACTTAGCAGCTTAAAACTCACTCTGGGTGCTTGTGTGTGCATGCCCAAGTCCTGAGAGGAGAATGGAGAAGGGAGTGCAGTATGGCCATTCCCCCGGGGGTGATTTCTCGCTTTTTGTCTCTTTCTCTCTCTGGCGAGTGCACACACCCTATATAGCAAAAATCTCTCTAAAAAAAGTAAATAATAATAAATAAATAAAATATTCTAGGGGAGAGCTCCTGTCTTGACTTACTCTGACCCACAAGCCCCTAGGGAGGGCAATTTAGGTTTTATAAGTTTTGGCATGTGGGCTTAGCTGCTTGGTTCACTTCAGTGTTTTTTTCTATACCACAGAATCCAAGTTTTAAAAGTTTAGGAAAGCAGGCCAGCAGGTGGTGGGGTGGTAAGATGCTGGTCTCCCACTTGGCCAACTCTAGTTCTAGTCCTGGACCTGGTAGCTTGAAAATCATGCTGGGTACTTGTATGTACATGGCCAAACTCCCAGGAGAGTGGATGGGAAGGAACTGTTACATCGTAATCTACCTCGGGGAGGGGGTGCTTTCTCATCCTCCCTTTCTCTGACTCTCCAGCAAGTGCTTGTACCCTATGGTTAAAAACAAACAAACAAACAAAAAACATAAAAATAAATAAGTTTAGGAAAGAGACCAACTAAGTAAAACTCTGTAAAAAGAGTTAACTAGGTCCAGCCCTAGGGGTTGAGGACTGGATCCCACAAGGCAGACTGCAGTTCAGGCCCTGACTCCAGTGGCCTGGAAGACGTGCTCAGTCCTCATGCATGCTTACCCAGGGTCCTGATAGGGGGTACTTTCTCTCTACCTCTTTGTTTCCGTCTGTCTCTCTCTCGTGAGTGCACATGCTCTCTGGTAATTAAAAAAAAAAAAAAAGTTAACTGGGTCAGCTAGATAGTCGCACGGTGGTTAATGCAGCTATATCCCATATGGCCAACCACATGGTTCAAGTACTGGACCCAGCTACTTGAGAAATGTGCTAGGCGAGCATACGTTCACGCCCAAAGTCTAAAAAGGAGGAGAAAGGATTGTGATGTGATCAGCCTTAAGGGTGGGGGGGCTTCCTCATGTTCCCTCTCCCCCTCTCTCCCTCTGGCATATATCCTATAATAATTTAAAAAGAAATTAACTGGGCTGGCACATAGCCTAAGGATCAAGAGTCAGATCCTAGATGGCCCACTACTGTATGTAAAGTGTACAGAGTGCATGTGTGAATGCATGCCCCAAATCCTGAGAAGATGGAGAAATGGAAGTAGGACTGTAGGGACCAGCAGTTAGCGTAATGACTATGTCACTGGACTGCCACATAGTCGACCGCGGTTTGAGTTCTGGACCCAGTGGCTTAAAACTCAGGCCGGGTGCATGTGTGTGCATGCCCAAGATCCCGAGAGGAGAATGGAGGAGAAGGGATTGCGGTGTGGAAATCCCGGGTGGTGATTTCTTGCTTTCTGTCTCTGTCTCTCTCTGTCTTTCTGGCGAGTGGATGCGCCCTATAGCAAAAACCTCTCCAAAAAAAAAAGAAAAAAGAAAAAAAAAAGGCAGGGGAGGGGATGCCTTCTCCCTTCCTCTCTTTCTGACAAGCATATGCACCCTATGGCAATTAAAAAGAATTATCGATATTTCCCCCATATCTGCTTCCAAATGATATAACCGAAATTCAAGAGTCCAAAACATTTTTTTGAGAGAGATTTTTACTGTAGGGTGTATGTGCTTGCCAGAGACACAAAAAGAGGCAGCGGGACAGAAAGTGAGAAATCATTCCTCTGGCCCCCACCCAAGACTTCTGCTTCACAAGTTCTCCCCAGGACACTTTCTTAGGTTCCTCTTACTCATGGATGGCCATGCAGCAATCCATTCTCCTGCATTCTCCTCATGGGATTGTGGGCACACAAGCACACACCCAGCGTGACTTTTAAGCCATCAGATCTGGGACCCAAATTGCAGTTTACAATGTGCGAATCCAGTGACGTAACCATTACCTCATCCACTGGTCCCCCCAAATTTCTTCAAAGGAACCCATGCTTCATTTAGCTTTGGGGCCTAGAGGAAGGAGAGGCCCCTTACCAACTGTGTGAGCGTTTGCAGAACTCACCACCCCACTGCTCTCTTGCCCAGCTCTAGGATTCTGATCTGCACCCTCAATGGCAGTGGCTTATCTTCCCTCTCACAAATACGTGGCATTTTGATACCACAAAAACAGGCGCTGACAGCTTGCTGAGACAGAGCACTGCAACCACCTCAGACTGAAAAGCGGTCTTCCCAGACCTTCCTGTCTCTGACTCCCTCCCCTACTCTCCACCTTGCCCGTCACCATCTCTCCAACCTATTATGGCCATACTTTCCATTATAAAAGGTTAACCCTGTTGCCCACCTCTGCTCCTTACCCTCCTCATTAAAAAGCTTCTGATGACTCCCCATTTCAAAATAAAGCCATAGTCTTTATCCAGGGACTCAAGACTTTTTCCCTTTAAAGAGGTTTTTGCCTTAGGGCACATACACTCACCAGAGAGAGTCAGAAACAGTAAGCGAGAAATCAACCCCCAGGGGGGGAGTGGCCATGCCACAATCCCTTCTCCATTCTTCTCTCGGGATCTTGGGCACACACACACACATCCCTGCCATGATTTTGAGGCAACTGGGTCTGGGACTCTAACTAAAGTTGGCCATGTGGGAATTCAGCGAGGTAACTGCTACGACCTCTGCTGGCCCCCACCCAAGACTTCTGAATCACCAGGTTCTCCCCAGGACACTTTCTTAGGTTCCTCTTACTCTCTTTGTTATAGGCAGCCTGGCCAGGCCTTGGCTTCACTGGATGACTTGCCATCCCTACGGGCCAGGCATGTTTGTACCTGTGCAATGTTGATCATACTTGGCCCTCAGCTTGAGACTTCCTTTCTAGTCTGGCAAACTCCTGTCAAGTTTTAGCTCAAATGACACCTCTTGTCAATTTGTTTGACAATACTTCACACCCCACACATACACTACCTTGCAGTTTAAAAAGAACTTTTAAATCTATTATTTATTCACTTGCTAGTACGACCTATAGAATATGCTGGGAAGGCTTTCCTTTCCAGCATTACAGACAGAAAGCCCAAGCCTTAGAGAGGGGGGAATGCAGGCTTAGTCAATTCTGGAGCTGAGACTCTCAACAAGCTCCAACTTTGGGCTGGCTACTTCTTCGACTCAAGCTCTCTACTTCTCTCCCTCTCAGCTGCAGCTGACAGTCTTAACATGCTGAAGACGTCCCCACTGCTGGATGTGAACTAACTCAGCACGGGGCTCCTGGGAGGCAGAAGGCTTGGCTGACAGCAAACTCAGCAGGCCCTTGTATGCAAAATGACATTTTGGCCTTAGGCACTCACTAAGTTACACAGTCCTTGCTCCGTAAGAGGAAAAGTTTTCAGGCACTAGAGTGTAGCATTAAAAAAAAGCCAAACTGAATTAGGGACTGTCCTACCACTTTATTAGACCCCCAACATGCATGCATGTACAGAGGCATTTAAGGTCAATGTGCTGCGATTTCAATTTCTCTCACTCCCCAACCCCCACTTGCTGAGCTCAAAAGGGACTCATCGTGAAACTCTGAGACTGATCCGTTGGTACTGGACAAAAACTATTTCCGGGTGCCCAGTTGTGGCACTTGGGAATTACCCTTTGCATTGCTCTTGGTGGGGCAGAGGGCAGACATTATACTTACAAAATATGTTCAAAGATCTATTTTTCACAGCAGTAAAGTTGTTATTTGTGTATTACTGAGACCCATGAATAATAGTTAAATAATAAAACACAAATTCATAAAATGCAAACTAGACATAAAATACACTGTACTACTTGGTCATTTAGAAATGTTAACCTTCTCATTCAATTAAATGAATAGATTCTAATCATTCGGCCAGTTATTCTGGATCCATTTCCTACTTTCAGTTGAAAACTTCAGGAGCAAATGTAAATATTGTCTTATGAAGGATTGTGTAGTCAGTGAGACAGTCCTGGACACAATATTCTCTTTGTTTGGCGTCCCATCTAACAGGTTTACCAAAAAACCTGGCAGCTTAGTTTTGGCAACTTAAGTAGGGTTGAGGTCTGTTGAAAGACAGGTTTGCAGAAGTGTGGATGACGTGTTTACGTGGCATTAGAGAACATTACCTGTGGACGGTGAAGCCTCAAGCGTTGCATGAAAGCATATTCTCTTAGCACTCCCTTTGATAAGGGGTAAGCTTGTTGCTGCTGCTGCCCTAGGGAGAATCAGACTACACAGATCACATACAGGTCCAACCACATGTTCAAGTCCAGACAAGTGCTAGTTCCTAGGTAGAATGTTTTAAGGTTTTGAAATACGGTATCTTATAAGTTGCTTTCTTTAAAAAAAAAATTTTTTTTAAAAAAAGAATTTAATTATTATTATTTGATCAGAGAGAGAAGGAAAAGGAGAAAGCAAGCTGCCAGATCTGGGATTTGAACCATGGTTGGCCATGTAGGAGTCCACTGTGCTACCTGCCAGCTCCCCAGATTGTTACCCCTAACCAGAATGTGTACTTTCGTTGTTCTTAAATGAGATGATGGAGAAGCATTAAATAAATTAGACAGGGGCCATGATAGCTGGGACAGCTGGATCCCATATGGCCAACTACACAGTTCAAGGCTAGGTCTGGTGGCTTGAAAAACAAGCCCAGGTGCACACGTATGTGTGCCCCAAATCCCCAGGAAGTAGAAACAGAGAAGAGATTAAATTGTGACCACATACCATGGAGGGAATGTTCTCACTTTTTCTCTCTCATCCTTTAGTCCTTTCCAGTGGGCACACATGCCCATGGGCACACTTTTTAAAAAGAAAAAAAGTTAGACAGTTTTATAAAGCTGTATCCAAATATGGAGCTGTATTCTTTCTTGAGGGGTGACTAGTATTGTCTTTAAATAAACACAAGTGTGTTTTGTTTTGTTTTACTGCCAGAGGCACATGTGCTTACGACTGACAAGATAGAGAGATAGGCATAAAGAAAAAAAAAATGGCAGAACCCCCCCACCACAGTGGGGTGTGGTCCCACTGCAATCGTTTTCCCTCTATTTCTCCTTCTCCTCAAGATCTCAGGCATGCACACACATGCGCCTGGCAGGTTTTTCAAGCCATAGGACCAGGATTCAAAGCACAGTTGGCCCATGGGATCTGGTTCTCTGCACAAAGCATTCAACCACTATGCTACAGGGCTGGCCCCACAAGATTGTTGCTTTTAACTTCTTTTCTTGTGCAAGGCTGCCCAGAGTTGCTCTTTTGAGTAAGGAGGTAAAAAGTTGAGGTGGAGGGGCCAGCAGGTGGCATAGTGGTTAAGGTGCTGGACTCCCACATGGCCATGGTATGAGTCCTAGACCTGGTGACTTGAAAATCACATGTGCGTGTGTGCCCAAAATCCAGTCATTCTAACAGTTTTGTCTTTTTTGTGTCTCTGAACTATTTGTTAGAAGTTACCTTGTTCAGGACTGGCAAATGGCGTGCTCATTAAGGATGCTGGACTCATATATGGCCAACCACAGTTGGAGTCCTGGACCTGGAGGCTTGCTTTCTCGCTTTCATTCTCTCTCTCTCTCTCACACACACACTCTATCCATCTCTGTTCAAATTTAAATAAAATAATTATATTAAAACAAAATCTCTCTAAAAAGAAGTTACCTTGTTCATCTTTTCTCTACCAGTCAGGCTGTTCCTGGTCCCAGGTAATGAAAAAATCCATGCAGGCTGGTAAAACAATAAAGTAGGAATAATGGCCAAAGGAACCAAAATGTCCATGGGTAGGAAAGCTTTAGATGTGTTTGATAAAGACCGCAATTCTTTTTTCTTTGCTTCCTTTCACTTTGTCAGAGGGCACCTGCATTGACCAGGGAGAGAGTGAGAAAGAGAGTGAAAGAGAGAAAACACCCCCAGGGGTGATGGCCATGCTGTAATCCCTTCCCCTTCATTTCTCCCTTCTTTCATGATTTTGGGCGAGCACATGCCTGGTGTGATTTTCAAGCCACTGGGCCTGGGACTCAAACCACACAGTTGACCACATGAGACCCGGTCGCCTTAGCCTCCATGCCAGCTGCTGGCCCTCCTGTTTTTCCTTCCAGTTACTGTCCAGATCCTTCCATTCAACAAGCATGTCAACATGGCTGCTCTCTGCCGTCCTCCCTTCCCTCACCTCATTGAATTCTCTGCCTGCTATATCTGCTGCCAAGTCACTCTACTGCATCTGCTGTCTGCTGGATCCAATAACCTTTTCCTTCAGTGTCATCCTCCCTGACCTGTCATAGTACCTGACATGTGAACAACGTACTTCTTAAGGGCTTTAAAAACTGAAGTAATCTTATGTTTATGTGCACATTGCATAGATGGTACATGCAGCTCCTATATACATATACATACATGATTGTTGGAAAAGTCATGAAATACTTATTCTATGTTTTTCTATGCAAAAATGTGCCATGACTTTTCGGACAACCCAATATATATATCTTTCATCATGACTCCCTGTTAACATTTCTTGGCCCGAAATTCTGACTTGGGAGTAAGTTGCAGACGTGATGTTTGTTACAAGATTTTATGTTGGCGTTTATTTCCTACATATAGGACATGCTCTGACAGGAAGTTAACACTGACTTGTTATTTCCATGGAGCTCACAAACTCCACTCAAGGTTTTTTTTTGGTTTTACTTTTGGATTTAATTTTATTGGAACCAGCAGTTAGCCTAATAGCTATGTTGCTGAACTCCCATATAGTTGACCATGGTTTGCGTCCTGAACCTGGTGGCTTAAAACTCACGCCGGGCGCATGTGCGTGTGTGCCCAAGATCCGAAGAGGAGAATGGAGAAGAGATTGTGGCGTGGCCATTACCCCTGGGGGCTGATTTCTTTCTGTCTCTCTGTCTCTCTCTGTCTGTCTGGTGAGTGCACATGCCCTATAGCAAAAAACAAACAAAATCCTCTCCAAAAAATTTATTTTATTTTATTTATTCATTCATTTATTTTAATTTGACCATAGAAAGATGGGAAGAGAGAGAGAGAGAGAAAGTGAGAAAGCAAGTCACCAGGTGCAGAATTCAAACCGTGGATGGCCATGTAGGAGTGTCCAGCACCTTAACCACCACATCATCTGCTGGTCCCCAGGTTTGTTTGTTTGTTTTTAAGAGGTTTTTGCCTTAGGACATGCGTACCGCTAGAGAGAAAGACAGAGACAGTGAGAGGGAAAGTAAGAAGTCATCCCACAAGAGGGGAGTGGCCATGGCGCAATCCCTTCTCCATTCTCCTCCCAGGATATTGGCCATGATCGCACACATGCCTGGTGTGAGTTTTGAGGCACCGGGTCTGGGACTCAAACCACAGTTGGCCATGTGGGAATCCAGCGATGTAACTGCTATGCCATCCGCGGCTCCTGCAGTTCTGCCCATTGTTCTGAGCTGTTCCTCATGGGACTAGAACAGACTGGGGTCCTGAGGCAGCTGGTCTCCTGGAATCTCACAGTCCTCCAGCACTTTCCTGTCTTTCAGGACCATGACATATCTGAAGAGGACAATTACTTTACAGGCTGATCCCCAACTTGGGTTTCTGTTGCTTCCTCAAAACTTCTGCATAACTGGCAGGGGCAGGTATATACCACAGAGGTGATGCTGGGTTCCTTCTGATGCATATGAAGAAATACACATGGCTGATTTGTCTCATAACAGGTGATATTAAACTCTTATCGCTAGTTAATTTCTGCCAGGTTTTTTCAGCATTAAGTAAATTAATAGGTATGCTATTCTTATTTAATGGTAATAGTTTGTGGGACAATTCTTTATAAGATGATATAAATATTCCTGCTTGCTACCCGATTTCCTTAAAAAAAATTTTAAGGAATTTTTTCCTTTAAAAATGTTTGCTGTAGGGTTTGTGTACTCCATGGAGACAGATAGACACAGGGAGTAGGAGAGAGGGAAAGTGAGAAAGGAACCCCTAAGGGGGATGGCCACACTGCAGTCCCTTCTCCTCAGGATTTTGAGAACATTTGCACACACACCTAGTGCTTTTTTCAAGCTTCTGGTTCCAGGACTCGAACTGAGCAGTCAGCCATGTGGGATCCAGCTGCCTTAACCTCCATGCCATCTACTGCTCCTCACTCACCACATTTAGCATCCCCTGATAATTGTTAGCTAAATAATTATTCCTATAACGGTTGCAAGTTGGTGATTTTTCTAATACCACAATTCCTTTGAGACTTCTTGGTTGGCATTATACTATAGAATGGTGTTCCATTTTCCCCCATTTATTCATTTATACCGGCACAGGCTTGTGGATTATTTACCTCGAAGGATTTAAATACATCAATCTATACTGTCATCATTTGATGCTCAAATGTTCCCAGACTGAGGAACTCCTTTCAGGGCTCCTGTGTTCTTCTGACACTGCTCCATTGTTCTTTCAGCACGCACTTCCTGGTACAACACATTCCAAGTCCATCTTGTGCTTTCCCTGACCCAGTCTTGGAATCAGCAATTTTTTCCAGAATCCTTGGGTTCCTTTGGTGAAAACTGGGAGTTAGGCACAGGACGTGGGCGCCAGATGTACTCACTGTCACTGGAGCATCCATCTCTAGACGCTCTCGGCAGAACTGGGAAACATAAGCATGTGTGCACATGCGGTTACGCGCTTCTCCATCTCCAGGTATACAGTAAGGGTCGTCAGTTACGCTGACGCTTCCAACTGTAATCCGGTACAACAGAGTGTTTTATTTCCTTCTCATTATTCTCAATGTACTTATTTGTTCAACCAACCTGGTATGCAACCAAACTCCCAGGCTCTTGGCTCAAAAGGAAGAGGTGTGTCTTAGTCCGCTTTGTGCTACTGTAACAGAATACTATAGACTGGGTGACTCATAAAGAACAGAAATTTGGGTCAGCAGGTGGCATGGTGATTAAAAGTGCTAGACTCCAAGGGAACCAGCAGTTAGCGTAATGGCTATGTCGCTGGACTCCCACGCAGTCGACCGTGGTTCACGTCCTGGACCCGGTAGCTTAAAACTCACACCGGGCGCGTGTGCGTGCGTGCCCAAGATCCCGAGAGGAGAATGGAGGAGAAGAGATTGCTGTGTGACCTTTTCCTCTGAGGGGTGATTTCTCGCTTTCTGTCTCTCTGTCTCTGTCTGGCGAGCGCACGCGCCCTATAGCGAAAACCTCTCCAAAAAAAAAAAGGGACCAGCAGTTAGTGTAACAGCTATGTCGCTGGACATCCA